CACTTAACAGTGGTGGCTGTGTCGCTAGCACCCAGGGCAGAGGCGGTGCTCCACAAGTGTTTGTGAGTGAATGGCCAACGTTCCCCTTCTCCTGAGCCATTGGCTCCCTTATTACCAATGCTCTCCCAGTCTCTGCCTCAGTTACCCATTATGGAACTGCTGCCAGTCTATATAGTTGTCAGTTAAATATTTCCTTTACTTAGCTTTATTTCAGTAAGTTCAATTTATGGAAGTTCTTTTTATAGAAGATCTACCTCATAATTTTTCTGACACAAGGTAGAATACAACAAATAAATAAAGTATCTTATTTCTATAAATGGCCTATAAGTAACAATGCAAACCAAAACAGTCCACATATTTAAACACTAGTCCCAACATCTGTCTGGGGAGCTGAAGATTGGAGGGACATCCGTGATTCCTGACCAGGGCAACTTGCCTCCCAGGGGACATCAGGCAATGTCTGGAGACATTTTTGGTTTTCACACCTAGGGAGTTGTTACTGGCATCTGTTGGGCAGAGGCCCACTACTGTCCATTGCTATTATTTAGAATGCCAAGACTAAAAATAAACTGTTAAACTGGAGTTTGAAGAATATGGTATGAGTCATTGGACTAAATATATAAGCCACAGAGGAAGATTTGAATTTGACCTAAAGAATATTTTCCCGGCAATGAGTTATTTGATTAAAATGGATTATTACTGAGGTAAATGTGGTTCCCCACTCTGATTGCACTTGAAACACTACCAGGGCTCAGCTCTACCCTGACAGGAATCAAATGCAATTAGTCAAGATTGGTATCCAGTAGTGCGTATTTTTGTGAAAGCTCGTCAGATGAGTCTGAGAACCAGGGCTAAGACCAATGCCCCAAAGCAAATGTAAGAGTCCCAACAACCTGTGTTCAATGAAAATTTACTTTTACCGAAAGAGGGCTTAGCACTGTAGGAATACTGCATGTGTCATTCCAGCTCATAGCCTGGCTCTGCGTCTTGTACAACTTTCTTCCTGCTGTTGCTGTCCAATTATAAAAGGTCTAACAGTTGGTGCCTAAAGTGCATCCAAGAAAGAAAATTAAGAATCTGATGCTCTAATGGAAAGGTGACCTATAGAAGTATAATTGTCATTATTTGCAGATGACATGATATTATATACAGAAACCCTAAATACTCCACTAAAAAACTATTAGAACTAATAAATGAATTCAGTAAAGTTGCCAGATACAAAACCAATGTACAGAAATTTGTTACATTTCTGTATACAAATAATGAACCAGCAAAAAGAGAAATGAAGAAAAAACTCCCATTTACAGTTGTATCTAAAAGAAACATACCTAGAAATAACTCTAACCAAGGAGGTGTAAGACCTGTATTTTTGCAAACTATAAAACATTGATGAAATAAATTGAAGATGACACAAATAAATGGAAGGCCATTCCATGCTCGTGGATAGGAAGAATGGTATTTTAAAATAGCCATCCTGACCAAAGCAATCTACAGATTCAGTGCAATCCCTATCAAAATACCAATAGAATTTTTCATGGAACTAGAAAAATTAAACCTAAAATTTGTATGGAACTACAAAGGATCCTGAATATCCAAAACAATCTTGAGGAAGAAACCTGAGATATCATGCTGATTTCAAAGTATTCTACAAAGCTACAGTAATCAAAAAAGTATGATATCAGCTCAAGAACAGATCCATAGACCAATGGAATACAATAGAAAGCACATTAATTGACCATGCCTATGTGGTCAATTAATATGTGACAAAGAAGGCAAGAATATACAGTGGAGAAAGACAGCCTCTTCAATAACTGGTGTTGGGAAAACTGGACAGCTACATGCAAAAGAATGAAAATGAATCACTATTTAATGTACCACAAAAATAAATTCAAAATGGATCAAAGACCTAAATATAAGACCTAAAACCATAAAACTCCTAAAAGAAAACATTGGCAGTAAACTCTTGAACATCAATATTAGAATATTTTTTCCAGATATGTCTCCCGAGGAAAGGGAAACAAAAACAAAAATAAGCAAGTAGGATCACATCAAACTAAAAGCTTCTGCAGAGCAAAGGAAACCATCAACACAGTGAAAGGGCACCCTACAGCATGGAAGAATATATTTACAAATGATGTATCTGATAAGGGGCTAATATCCAAATATATAAAGAACTCATACAACTCAACAACAAAAAGACAAATAATCCAATTAAAAAAATGGGTAGAAGACCTGAAAGGACATTTTTCCAAAGAAGTCATATAGACACATGACCAACAGACACAAGAAGAAGATGCACAACTTCACTAATCATCAGGAAAGTGCAAATCAAAACTACAGTGAGGTATCACTTCACATCAGTAAGACTGCATAATACCAACAAGACAAGAGATACAAGTGTTGGAAAGGATGTGGAGAAAAGGAAACCCTTGTACACTGCTGGTGGGATTGTACACTGCTGGTGTAGCAACTAAGGAAAACAGTATGGAGGTTTCTCAAAAAAAGAAAAATAGAAATACCATGCAACCCAGAAGTTCCATTTCTGGGAATCTACCTAAAGAAAACAAAATCATTAATTCAAAAAGACATATGCACTCCTATTTTTATTGCTACATTATTTACAGTTGCCAAGATATGGAGGCAAGCTAAGTGTTCATCAATAGATGAATGGGTAAAGAAGAAGTGGTACATATATACAATGGAATACTACTCAGCCATAAAAAAGATTGAAATGTTGCCATTTGCAATGATGTGGATGGACCTAGAGTGTATTATGCTAAGTGAAATAAGCTATTTGGAGAAATAAGAATACCATGTGGTTTCTCTTATACATGAAATCTGGAAAAAAACAAAAACAGAAGTAGACTCATAAACACAGAGAACAGACAGTTGGTTACCATCGGAGGTGGGAGTCAGATGAAATAGGTGAAGGAGATTAATAGGTACAAACTTTAAATTCTAAAGTAACTTATAGTCACAAAGATGGAAGTATAGCATGGGAAATAAAGCTCAATGTATAATGTTTGTATGGTGAAAGATGGTAACTATACTTATCCTCATGAGCATTTAATAACATAGTTGATGAATCACTAAGTTAGTAATCTGAAACCAATATAATATTGTATATAAACTATATTTCAATAAAAATATTAAATAATAAATAATAAAGATCTATTATAATATGTTTCAGAATGGAATTACTGAACGAAAGATCTAGAAGTTTTGAAGACCTGAGACACGGGGCCTGGATTCTCACCCAGACAGGCCTTCTTAGAGGAGTACCTGCTTCTGGGTTTGATCCTCAAGCTTAGCCTGTCCATAAATCCAGTTTTGTCAGTACTGGGAATGATTGATTCTTAGGAATTAGAAGTGAACTAAGCTAATTTATAATGAAAATTAGAAGGGCTGCATGGAGGGTATGGAAGTCATTAATGCTGTTCACCAAATATTTCCGTTCCTTATCTCCCAGACATGCTGTAGGATCATACTTTCTGTTCCCTGTGGTTGGCTGAGGCATGTGTCTAATTCTAATAATGAGCTGGGTTTGGAAGTAAACACATTTGCAGGAGGAAGATCCTACCAAGTTCTCTCCCTCTGTCACTGTGGTGCGCAATGTTTGAGAGAATGTCTGCTCCATCAGCCATGCTACCTGAGTGACTAGTGAGCAGAGTTCTCTACCAGCCCACAATGACAGTATGAGCGTGGAACAAAAGATAACCACCACAAGTCATAGGGACTTGAAATTTGTTTGTTTCTGCAGCATGCCCTAGCCTATTGTGATGGTACAGAAGGTATTTTAACATTAGCACACCCAATATACATATTTCATCTCTGTAATTAAAAATCAATTAAACTTAAAACATTGCTTTAAGAATTAATCAGAATAAAAGAAAATAATTCCACATTTCTGCTATTATAGGTGCTGTAACATTCAATATTAATTAAGACACCCTCCTCCCAGATTGAGCTGGGCAATGCCAACATTTACTTCCCTCTCCTTTTCTACACTTTCATTGTTGACCAAGCCAACTTCTGATGGTCACAGTCTTCCTTTAATTGCTGTTACCTTTATTTTAAAAGTCATAAAGTGTGCATATTTAAAAATGAACAGTTTTGAATTCAGTCTCCCCTCCCCTATCAGCCCACTTCCTAGAACCCTCTTCAGTTCAATGTACAAATGGCATCCCTCTTCATATTCTTCTACACCTTGCTTTTTGACTTAGTCTGTCAAGTATCTCTTCAAGTCGTTGCATAATTACCTGTTTCTTTTTGATGACAGCAGAGTTATCCATTTCAAAGACACCATCCTTCATTTAACTGGTTTCCTTTTGATAGACATATTTGGTCTTTTCAGTCTTTTTCTATTGTTATTTTAATGCTCCAATGATCATCCTTATAAAATATATATTTTGCACACTTGTGGAAGTAAATCCAGAGGGAGAATCCTTAGAAACTGAATTCTGGATTGAAGGGAATTTGCAGTATAAATGCCAATCAGTATTGCCAGTTTCCTTCCCAAAAGCCAAATCAATTTACATTCCCATCAATACTGTGTGAGAGAGTTCTTGTCTTTTCCCACTCTCAAGAACCCAGAGTATTATCAAACTTTCAAAAATCTCTGCCATTCTAATCATGAAAAAAGATACTGCATTATTGATTTAAAGTGCATTTCTTTAATTATAGATGAGTTTGTTTTGTTCTTTCTTTAAGTATGTTGAGTATGGTGAGGCCAGGGTGGCATTCTTTCTCTCTAAGATGAGTTGATTATAGTATTTCAATCTCAGAGAATAATCTTATTGTTAAGCACTGAGGAAGCACCTCATCGTTGCCATTATTCATTACTGAATAAACAGAATTCACAGCAAGTCTAAGGCCTTGGGGTATATATACATATATGTTGCCACTGGGAGATTCTGTAATGACTTCATCCAAGGCAGGCTGGGAATTGGCTAGCCCTCGCACCTTTCAGTTCACTGATGTGACATATTATTTCATTGCAGCACTTCAGCTTTGTGTCCTTGCCCACTGATGTGCTGGAAATCGAGGTGAAGGACAAGTTTGCCAAGAGCCGACCCATCATCAAGCGCTTCTTGGGAAAGCTGTCAATGCCAGTTCAGAGACTCCTGGAAAGACACGCCATAGGGTAAACTGTGACTCAGACCCCAGTATCACTAGGCTTCGGCCAGCTGGCTAGGGGAGGCCTGCAAGCTGCAACATTGATTATGTTGCCATATTCAATACTTATGCAATAGAGTAAAAAAATCTTAAGATACAATATTGAAAGAAGCCTTTAATTCAGTTTTTTTTCATATGGGTTGAAATTAAAATTTGTTCTACTATAAAGAATATTATTCCATTAATATGCCTGCTTTGTGCTTAGTGTTTTTAGAAAATGCTGCATAATTGTGTGAAATTTCAAAAGCATGAATTCTCAGGGAATGACAGCAATTATACTAGTTGCAGAATTCAGTTGTATATGAGAATGTTTCTGTGTTCTGTATCTTTTACATTCATGTCCACTCACAATTCTCATTAAAGTAAACTGGCCAGATAAAATATTTTCATATAATATATATTCTCTTAGCTAACAGCAACTGGTTTTAAAAACACTAGATATAGCTCTCTGTCCATAAATATGTGCTTCAATATGATGTAACCCTTAGAATGACATCAAAAGAATTTAAAAAATTGCAGGATTTCCAAATCTTTCCAAGTATTAATTTAATGATCTTTGCCTTTTCAGAAGGACTTTGGAGTCACTTATGGTGAATATTAGGAACATTTAATTAGATATGTGCAGCTTATGGCTTGTATGCAGCGGTGTGCGTATACACATGCTGTAAACTCACAAGCCAACGGGAGCTGACATTTTTGGAGCTACACACAGTGTGTTACACACAGTATTCGCACTCTTCATTCATAGCTCTGAGCACTAACCGAAAATGTACTTAAAGATTGTGAAGCAGTCCCTGGCACACCATGACCAAACTATATAACCATTTGCTTTGTAAATAACATACTGAATGGCTGTTAAAATAAAGCTACTCAGAAGGCTCCCTGGACTCCTTTGCCTATAACATCCCAGCCATCAGCTGGTTCTCTCCTCCCCTGCTGCCCTGGAGCCCTGACCCCCTCAGCTTCCTGTGGAAATATCACTACTGCCTTGAACCATTTAGGAGGTCCTGCCTATGCCCCCAGCTAGATTTAAGCTATTTAAAGGCAGGACTATGCAGTTGCATGCTTTGTATCAACTGCAGTATCAATATTCTACATCACACAGGCTCAAAAAACATTAGTTGATAAAGTGGGTGAGAAGCAAAGAAAAACAGCCTGGAAAGCAAATGCAAAGCAAAATAAATTTAATTTTTGTCTCCTTGTCTGACTACCTTTAGGCCTCCCTTGATTTCAGCTAGATTTGGGTTCAGGATCTCTCTTATGGTCAGAGTAGATCGACTTTGTAATATTGACCAAGGCCCTTTCTAAAAAAAACAAAGTATTATGGCTTATTGCATTTTTCCTGTATAGAATGCTTTATTTAATGGATTTCTTAGGAACTTCAAATACCAAACCATGGTTTACCAGAGAAAAATACCAAGTAAGTTGATCATTGGGATATGTGCTGTTTGCTTCATAATGCTGGTGTTTTTTAGAAAGAAATATTACTAGCCAGTGATTTATCATTTTATTTGAATGTGAAAAATGAGTAAATAGAATGCACAGAATCATCTGAGTAACAAGTGGTTTGGGAATATCTTTGTTACCATTGAGCACACAGGATTTGTTCATTCCTGAAATGTTCCAGAGTAGTTACTCTTTCTATTTTGGCCAAGGTAGGGGGCAGTGTACTCTGCTGAAGCTACGTTTGGTGAAACTCCAAAAGCAAAGTTTCAGATTGATTTCCCCTGGAAAATTTCTTCATAATTAAGAAATTTCTTTGAGGGGGCAAAGGGGATGGTGCCAGTCCAGCATGGAGTTTCTGAGTCTCTATGTGAAACCCTGGAGTTGGTGCAACCGGAACTCACAGGCCACTGAACCTGGCCCACAAATCCTGCTTTGCTCCATTCTGCAGTAGGTCCCTTTCTGAAGCATTCCACAGCATTCCACATCACTCCAGTAACCAGATAGATATAAATATATATACATAAAACAGTGCTGGCACTGTCCATGACTGTCCATAATTAAGGGTATATTTGGAAACTGTCAGCTTGTACAAGAAAAGCAAGCAAGATATCCATGTCTTTTTTTGGGTTGGGGTAGGGTAGTTAGATCAAAAGTTGTCAGACTTTCTGTAAAGGGTCAGGTAGTAATTATTTCAGGCTTTGTAGACATTAGGTTCTCTGTCCCAACTACTCAACTCTGCCATTGTAGCATAGAGCAGCCCCAGACAATAAACTAATAAGCATGGCTGTGTTCCAATTAAACTTTTAGTTGTGGAAACTGAAGTTCGAATTTCATATGATTTTCACTCGTCACAAAATACTACTCTTCTTTTGCTTCTTTACTACCCACGTAAACATGTGAAAAGCTCATGGCTGTACCAAAACAAGTAGCAGGCCAGATATGGCCCATGGGCTGACCCTGCTTTAGAATATTTGATAAGGATTTTCTTAAAGTTTGTCATTGCTGTTGAGCAACTTTCCCGCCTTCACCTCAGGATGGTCTCACATGCACCCAAGCAGATCATGTCCTATTACCAGGGCCTCCTTGGAAGTGCCTTACTCTCCTTCTGGTATAGAAAACACTGTGCGATCTTTAAGAGGTCAGGTACTAACCAGATCTGTAATGATGCCTATTTCCTTTTAGGGATAGGGTGGTCAGCTACACACTTGGCCGCAGGCTTCCAACAGATCATGTGAGTGGACAGCTGCAATTCCGATTTGAGATCACTTCCTCCATCCACCCAGGTATTTTCAGCATGAACTTCATGTCTTGTCCTAGCCTAGTGCCATGCTGTGGTTCCCTTTTCTAAAATACAATAACCATGGCACTTGAGTGGGGTAGGGTAGACAGTGGCATGAGATTGACAGTGAGGCCAGCCTGGGTATGGAGCCATGTCTTATTTATCATTTTACTCCCAGCACCTACACAGGAGGTGCTCTGTGGATGTTTAATCATTGCATATGTGGACGAATGAAAGAGAAACATGAGTGAATGTGATTCATGTCATATTATTGAAGAACTACTATTGTACAATGGCTTTTACAATATCAGAGAAAAATGAAAAATATCAGTTGGACAGAAAACTTCAGAATCATCCAGTGTTGTTTTTCAAGCCCAGACACATTTCCAAGTAAGAATGATGAGATGCCTCATAATTCCACTTTTCTCCCATGACCCCTGTTCTAAGTGTAGATGGTGCTGAGAATTGGTTGGTCCTCCTGGACCGCATTTATGAGGTGTGGTTAAAGCTAATTAAGTTTTCAGAGCTCAGAGGCTGGAGTTTATCACTGCCCACTCATTAAGCTCCAGCTGCACTTCTCTATGGGTGATGTACAATGCAGATTGTAGGAAAACACCCTGTTTTATCTTTTCAGACTCAGCCTTTTCTACATTCTGAGAATAAAACTGACTCTTCCTTCAGGATAGCAGTAAGGACAGCCTTACAATTAACTAGAGAGATTGTTTTTCTTCAATGAGTGAATTGCAGGAGTGTTAAAAGCAGGAGGTTTACATCTGGCAGGGGTCTGGTGGAGCCAGCAGCTGAGGGAAGGTAGGGGTAACCAGTGATTGCCGCTCCTTGTTGTGGAGACCATGTTTATTTTTCCATTGTGATAACCTCACATGTTGGACGGTTCCTAGTCTGAGCCACTGAAGGACTATGGCTGGCTTCTATCACCTGGCCCCTTTCTTCTCTCCGGTTGCCTAAAACTTGACTTAACCATTCTGCCATCCTGATAGACCCAACCAGAGGAAACACACTCAACATTATAATTAACGAGGAATTATACCCTTTCCTCATCTCTGAAATCTTCCATGTAGCAAACATTGTTGAGCACCTGCCATGTATCCAGAACTGGGGTAGCTCTAGGTTTTGGGTATATTAACCAAATAAATAAATTATCTTGAAACAGAATCCCGAAATATGTCCCGACTGCAGATTGTCACTAATAGAAGGAAAACTCAGTCTTGCAGAATTTTTTAGCACAGCTTTGGCGGTGAGAAACACTCATCAACCCTTACATCCAGTATCCAAACTCAGAAATCTGTCAGGATGGCTTGCATGTCGGCAGAGTACACGAATAGTCTAATTCCCTCCCTCTTCTAGAAGGAATGACATTTTCTTCTTGCCCGCAGATGACGAAGAGATTTCCCTGAGTACCGAACCTGAGCCAGTGGAAATTCAGGGCAACCTGGTGGCGGGCAGCGGTGCGGAGCCCATTCACGGTGCGCCCGAGCCCTCCGGGAGCCCGAAGCCCGTGCAGCCCAGCGAGGGCAGCTCCGGTGACGCTGCAGGGGACGAGGGCTTGGCGCTTGCCACGCAGGCGGAGGACGCGGCAGGTACCACCGAGGCAGGAGACGACGGCGCGGTCTCTGCAGGACCTGACGGGGCTGGGGCGCCCCTGGGTGGGGGGCGAGAGGACGCCGAGCCCGCTCTCAGTGCAGAAGAGCTGGCCGAGCGGCTGGACCTGGGAGGGGAGGAGCCCCCAGCCGAGCTGCTGGAGGACGCGGAAGCTCCACGCAGCCCCGGGGAGCTGGGGACAGGGGACGCGGCGACGGAGAGCCGGGCTGGGGGCGAGGAGAACAAGGAGCATGCGGAGGAAGAGGAGGGCGACGTGTCCGCCCTGGGGCAGGGCGGGGACAGGCTGCAGCTTCGGGCCTCTGCAAAGAGGAAGAGCAGACCGTGCTCCTTGCCGGTGTCCGAGCTGGAGACGGTGATCGCGTCTGCCTGCGGCGATCCCGAGACCCCGCGCACGCACTACCTGCGCATCCACACCCTGCTGCACAGCATGCCCTCCGCCCATGGCGGCGCCAACGACGACAGCGCCGAGGACGAGCCCACCCTCAAGGAAGCCTCGGAGAAGGACGGGCTCAGCGAGGTGGACACTGTAGCTGCTGAGCAGCCTTCCCGGGAAGAGGATGGACAGGAGCCTGAGGGCGCCACGCCAGGCACGGCGCCCCCCGGCCACTCGGGCGTGGCCAACGGCACTGTCCCCGACAGCGACACGCTCCTCAGCACCGGGAGCGAGAGCGACTCCAGTCCCCGGCAGGGCGGGGACCACAGCTGCGAGGGCTGTGACACGTCCTGCTGCAGCCCCTCCTGCCACAGCTCCTCGTGCTACAGCGCCTCCTGCTACAGCTCCTCGTGCTACAGCGCCTCCTGCTACAGCCCCTCCTGCTACAATGGCAGCAGGTTCTCCAGCCACACCCGCTTCTCCTCCGTGGACAGCGCCAAGATCTCCGAGAGCACCGTCTTCTCCTCGCAGGACGACGAGGAGGAGGAGAACAGCGCGTTCGAGTCGGTGCCTGACTCGGTGCAGAGCCCTGAGCTGGACCCGGAGTTGACAAACGGCACAGGTCCATGGCAAGACGAGCTGCTCGGCCCCACCGGGAGCGTGGCGATGACCGTGGATGGTCTGGAGTCCCCCGTGGCAGGGCCAAGCAATCGGAGAGAAGGTTAGACCTCAAACCTGATCAGAGTGAGAATAGGACCACCAGGGGGACACAGGCCTCACCAACATGGTTTAAACAAGAGAGGATCATTCCCCAGTGGGGTTGCTGGGGCAATGTACACCTGTCCTGTACATGTATGTGTGCATGTGTATATGTGTATATCAGTATCTGTGACTATGACTAGCAGACACCCCTCAGATATATATATTATATATATACACACCAAAAATTACAACTAGTGCACACATGTGCGTGTGCATGTGTATGTGTGCATCTCTGTTTTAACTAATCACCAGAACTGGTTAGTGTACATGTTACCCTTCTAGTCGTGACAGCAACCAGATCACTAAGGCCAGTATCAAAAGGTACAAGCATTAAATGATCGTCAACATTAGATGGATGCTTGTATAAATATCTGCTGACTTCCCAAAACATACTGAAGATTAGTAATAAATGTTAATACAAGTTGAAGAACATTGATTTTTACCTCTGTTTAGAATTTAACTAGTTTGTTTACATATGGATATGTATAGCTACATGTATTTGTCATTATTTCTGTCTGGTGGTTAATTCTCATTATTGTTGTGGGTTTTTTTATTCAATTTATTTAAACTTGAAAAAAAAAAGCAGTTGACCCATTTCTCCTACCCCTTATCCCTCAATCGGTTCTCTGTTCTCTTGAAAACTGTAGGACATTCATGAAAGAATTGAAGAAGACACAAATAAATGGAAAGATATTCTGTGCTCATGGATTGGAAGAATCAATATTGTTAAAATGTCCACACTACCCAAAGCAGTATGACAGATTCAGTGCAATCCCTATCAAAATTCCAAGAGCATTTTCACAGAAATAGAACAATCTTAGCATTCCATACAGAACCATCAAAAACCCTGAATACTAAAGTTATTTTGGGAAGAAAAACTAGGAGGCCTCGCGCTCCCTGATTTCAAACTCTATTCCAGAGCTGTAGTCATTCACTATGGTTTGTTTCTGTTGTTCTTGTTGCTTTGTGTGTTTGATTGGGTTTTGTTTTGTTTTGACTATTTGGCTAATGGAAGGGAAAAAAGTGTGAATGCATAAATCACTCTGCTTCATCTAATCCCAAAGCTGCCACCAACTTTAGTTTTAAAATGTATTCTGTAGTTTAACCAAAGGCATTTCTTCTTAGTCATGTCTGAGGAATCCCATATAAATTTAATTTGCCTTTCCTCATTCAGAATTGGGAATCCTCTTCCAATCAGGTGATAGGGACATGAGGAAAACATTCAAAAGTCATGTAATGATATGAGAGAATTCAGTTATTTTCACAGAAGGAAGTATAGATTCTGCTATTTTTGCTTAAATTAGCAAATTTACTAAATTACTTAATTTAGCAAATTATACTGCTTAAATTAGCCTCCAGACAAATATGGTGCTATTGTCTCTAGATTGTAAGCTCATCAAGGGCCAGAACTATGTCTTCCTTATGTCTGAATTCTCAGCACCTAAACAAATGCCTGACATCTGACCTTTTCACAGGAACTGATGTAAGTAAGCATGAAAAAATAGTCAAGTTTAAGAATTCAACAACACCAAGTTCTGCATTTCAGAGGAAAGGAGTGAGGAGAAGTGACACATGGGATAAAAAGAAGCGAGAAGCACAGGGAGGAAAATCTTAGTGACATACACGTGAGAGTGAGATTGGGATGGACTTGCTTTAACAAGGATATTTTCCAGTCCCTTCTTGTTCTGGGCCAGATGCTACGTGCTGGGCCGAAGAAGGTGGATCAGCATCAGACAATGTAGGGAAGGTACTCAATAATTACAATGCAATTAAAAATAATCACATTATAAGGAGGTTTAGGAATACACACATAGAAGGGCACCACTAGGAGCTGGCAGGGATGTTTTGGACCAGAAGTCACAAACTTTTTTCTGAAAAAGGCCCGATAGTAAATATTTTAGGCTTTGTGGGTCAAGAGCAAAAATCAAGCAACTATTCTCACCAAAAGTTATCTTTAAAACAGTTCTACACTGAAGAGTGTAATAACCATTCTTAGTTCGGAGTCATACAAAAAGAAGGCTGAATTCATAGTTTGTCAACCCCTAATAGCCTATGGGGTGTATTTTGACCACCATGCTGGGAGACAATCCACACATAGTTCACTGGAAATAGACTCAGTATACATTTCTATAAAAGCATGTTTTACAAACAAACAAAAAAAACACAGTCCATGCCTCTGAGGTACTAACAGTCCATCAGCTGCCCATGAGCTGCCCCCTTAACAGAGAAGTGTTTCAGGGCCATAGTGGAAGTCTTTGCAGGACTACTCCTAAGGGAACTTCTAAATTCCTGAATTCGGCAGACTGTAAACTCAGGAAAGGTTAAGAAGTACCTGTGTGCTTCGTGCTGGTGGTCACAGGGGGCACGGGGCAGACTCCTGAGAGGGGCCATTGACCTCATGAAGGTTGTGCATCCACTGGCAGGTGACTTCTGCACGGCCAGTTTCACTGTCTTGGCAGTGAGTCACTGAGCTAATGGTGTCAGCCTTTGCCTCCATCCCTCCCTGGCACGTGCTCACAGAAAGCAGAGTTTCCACATCACCTGCCTGCTATGTGCCTGTGGGTCCTCTCCTTCCATGAGAATCACTATTGCCCCCTAACTGGGACTTTTAGGATTGCAAATTCTTTCACTAAGTTAGCCAAGGTAGACTTACGGTACCCATGCCCACACAACCCATGCCACCACTTATGGAAACTGGACTCTTTGTCTTCATTTAGATTGTTTTCCCTTTATGAACACCTCAACATAAAATAACATTTTAAAAACCTTTGGCAAATCAGATGAAAAGAGCAATCTATGAGCTCAGGCCCTGGAGTCAGGGCCCCTGGGTTTATATTCCGTCCCACTTCTTAGCCACAAGTTACCTGAATGCTCCGTGCCGCATTTGTGTAAAGTGGGTGTAAATGTAGACTCTACCTCAAAGGGTTATTGGTTTAAGCAAGATGATACGTATAAGTCTTTGGCCTCTCACTGCATGATGGTTCTTCCAGACAGATAGGCAGGGAGGCTAACTCTTAAAGTGGAATGTGTTTCCTTCTCAGAGGTTCTAGCGGGACTGCACACTTGCTTTGTGTTTGAGAGGAGGGTGATTGTGTGGAGCCGCGGCCTCGTGCAGAACAGAACTGCTTGCTGCTTCTGTGCGCTCCCTCCATTCCGTGGCCTGAGCTGCATCAGTAACATCATTCCATTTGCTTGGGGTTCACAAGCAGGCGGGGTCAGCACCATTAACCCCGGCAGGCGACAATATTGCATTTCTACTAGCTTGGAGGAGTAATTAACCTGATTTGTTGAATTAATTATGAGAGGTAAGTTTGTTGTTTCTCTAAAGAACCTAAATTTAAAATACTGCAGCTGGTGACATAACAACCGTACCTACTGTATTTTCTTTGCTGACACAAAGCACATATAAAGACAAACATGGGTGTGGTAAACACAGCCCATCTTGTAACAGGAGTCAGTTCTCAGGAAGCTGTAGGCTGGCCTGAGGGGCACCTTGCCTCACATTTAGTCTCAGAGGACCCCAAGGATTTGAGTCACATACCAGGGTTTGCACAAGAAATCATGTTATATAGTCAACATTTAAAAGGACCCCTTGTTCCTAAGTACATCTCTGTTTTCATTTTCAAGTTAGTTCTAGTAATTATACTGCTAAATTGCACCCACCTAACTTCTTTCCTAATTAATTTTTAAACTCAGTCCTCTGGATCTACAGTAAGAATAATTGCCCTTTCCATTTATGGGCGTTCTGGAAAATATTTTAAATTTGAGATCCCATGAAGCCTTAACCACTATCTTTCAGAGTTTCTCCCCCTTTTGACCCAAGGGAAACATGGAACCCTTGCTATTTGCATCAGCCATGAAGGGTTCAGGAAAGAGAAAGCATGACCATTGTCCTCTGGCTAATAGAGACTGTTGCAAGAAAGCCAGGATCTTGTGAGACAGAGGGACAACAGTCTGCATGGTGGCTGCCACATGGCCTGGGCCCATGTAGCTCTCCAAAACTCAAGAACGTTTGTCTCTGATAATGTGACCAAACAGCAGGTGTTACGGGCCTCCCACCCACACGGCCACTCTACAGGCAGTGTTACAGGACCTGAGGATATCATGAAACAGGAACACCATTTTAGAACATTGTTCAGTTTATTTAAGTCTGGCTAAAAATATTAACTATGTCTATAATAACTGAGGCATGCATTCTGTGGGTATGTTTATCTCCAAAATTTCTCCATGTCCTTCTGTCTTTTTCCTTCTCTCCCACTTCTGTGTTTTCCTGTCTCAGTCTTTCTGCCTTTTATCTACTTCCTTTGTCTCTTGTCCTTTCTCTTTCCAGAGCACCCTGGCTTATCTGATTTGTTCCTCCAAATAATCTGGAACAATCATGAGACCCCAAAGCTCCTTGACTACACCCCAGCCTCTGGCTTCCATACTACAGAAATTTACCTTCTTGGCCCATGAGGTCCTAAACCCCATCTTGGAAAGGCACTGTCTATGAGTTTCATTCCAAAAGCAAAATCTGAAAAATGGCTTCTTGGAAGCCCTCGGATGAAACCTATCTAAATATGGAGCTATAATTTTGCACAGGTCCACCAAGCTCTTATGGGGCCTTATAAATGCGGTACTTCCCTCAAACAGGCTTGTTTCCTTGGCTGGGCCAAAGTTGGGCTCTGCTATTTTTCTTTTGTGCCCCTTTCTGATGTGTCCCTTTTCTGTCCCTTTCCATCAAGAAGATTCAGGGGTTACAAAGTCAGACCCTGATCCTACATATTGCTCTGTGTGGTAGATCATAGTCATGAAGTGTTTGGCTATTTTCTTCGGGGTTAAAAAGTAATAATTCCCCCTGTTTCCTCTCTTGTGAATGACTGTGAATGTAGCAAACTGACACAAAAAATAGATTTTTGCCCACTCTGGGGATTTCCTATAGTCATTTGTTTTCCAGTCATGCTTTTCAATGACGTTGCCACAGCTGTGAGTGAACCTGAATGCCTTGACTATCTTGTCCATAGGTGAATGTCCTATACTCCATAATTCCCAGCCAGTAAGCCGGCTTCCTTCCTTGAGGCCTGAACATCATCACTACCCAACAATCGATGAGCCTCTTCCACCAAGTAAGCTTTAGTTTTTGAAATCTATATCTTAACTCTTCCTATCAAGTCTAAACAGGTCAGTATGAACTTGTATGTAAACATACAAACTCTTTCCCAACTCCATGCTTTACCCGGTTATATCAAAAACCAATATGGCACCTACTAGAAAAACTGTTTGTTTGTTTTGACTAATGGTTTCAGCATGTGATCTTGAAGAGATAACCCAGTATTTCCAGTGCCCCTCAACTTTGGAAATGGAGACCATTTCTTTACAAGACTTTGACTAGTCCTTGCAAACTGCATGTGACCCTTAAGTCCCAAATCGTACTATTTTTTACTTACAAGTTTGCAGTTCAAGATGGAATATTCCCATTGCTCTCCATCAGATCTGTTATGTCACAAGTAACTCCATAAAATAAAATATTTCAATCAATCAGGACCCATGAACTTGCAAGTTATACTGTAACTTGTATCAATAGCTAACAGCCTCAAATTTGTTCTCTGGTTCTTAAGGGTTTCCAGGCAAAATATCATCTTTAGGGAAAGAATTCCATATCATTTTATCCTTGTAACTGTCGTATGTAATTAATGAATACTTGACTAGTCATTTGAACTTGGAAAAATCATTTAATCTCTCAGAGACTCAGTTTTCCTATTTGTGAAGTAAAGCTTTCATTTCCTCAGTTAGAGAAATGCTAGATTTGGATCATTCCAGCTTTAAACTTATACTACTCCATTATAATAAATTTGTAATGAGGAACTGACACCCCAGACATTTTATATTCACTTAGTGTCATGTACACTTACAAATTCTAGAACATCTTTACTTTGTTTTAGGCTTGTTTTTCAAGCAAAGGTAACCTTTAGGATTTGATACATTTTACAACTGCACATCTTTCCAGGATGCAAGGAATCAATGCCTCTTTCCATTCTTTTATCTGTGCTTACATTAAGAGGTTACAGTTTTCAAAAGGAGAAATGCTTATTCATGGTAATGTAATATATTTTGTGTATACACCATTCTTCTCCCATTTAATTGCAATTCACCAGTGAGAAAACAATGACTACCTTTAATATGTAGACATTTGAAAGAACCCCATATTTGTTTTGGGGGGAGCCAAGCCAAACATGATGTCCTTTAACTTTTGACACCTGATTTTTTCTTTATTTAGACGTTGATTAATGGATATTTCATAAACGAACAGTAATGTTTTAGTGTCACTATAGGTACTTCCTACTTAGCACTTACCTGAGAAATACCTACAAGATGTTCCGTCCAGGAAAGAAACACTTTCCCCACAACAAATAACCTATCAAAATGCATGCACGCATGAATTAACTGCCAGTCTGTGCAAGAGTAATTACTAGTTATATAGATAGATATTTTAAATAATTGAACATAAGTCTGTTTTAAGGAACTACTTGATATAAGCTGCTTTCAACAATAAAAACAAAGTTCTCCAGATAGGTTTTGCCTTTCTGTCCATGAGACACTGAAACATGCTAGAAAAGTTGGTAATGAAGCCTAACACCTGAATTTTCTTAGATAATCTCAAATAGTACCTGGCTATCTTCACTACTGGCAGTCATTCATTCAACAAATATTCATTGAATGCCTACTCTGTGTGAGGTACTGTTTTGGGAAAGCAAAACAGATGAAGATCCCAGATTTCAAGGAGGTTATAGTCTAGTCTGATGGAAACAGTAATAAACAATAAAAAGAATAAATGAGAAAATAGTATAGCATGTTAGACGGTAATAAGTCCTATGGAAAAACAAAAGCAGGGTAAGATAAGGGGGATCTGGAGTGTGTGGTAGTGGCTGACCACACTTTAAAGAAGGTGATTAAGTTGGCTCCATGGAGGAGGCAGCACTTGAAGCTAGACTCAGAGGAGCTAAGAGAGATGTCCACACAAGTACTAGAGAGAGAGCTTTCTGAGCAGAGAACAGCCTGCCTGATGGGTCTGAGGAGCAGCAAGGAGCCCAGTGTGTCTGAACAAGATTTAGGAAGGGAGAAGGCAGAGTGCTGAGGCCACGGAGATATCAGGAGCCCAGATCACACAGGGCCTCAGAGAACTCCTAAGGGCATCGGCACTTACTTTGGATGACAGGGTCATGGTACGTTTTTGAGCAGAGAAGTGAAGTTGTCTGACTTAGGTTTAAGAGATTTTCGGTGGTTGTGTGTTGGCAGTAAATTGTGAGGGGGAAGGATTGAAGCATGAGACAGAACATGAGGTATTGCCATTGAGAAACATGGTGGCTTGGGCCCGGGGCACACAGTGCAGGTATGAGGAGCAGTCAGATTCTAGATAGATATTTTGTAGTAGATTGACTGACAGATTGGATGTGATGTGTCAGAGAAAGCTAGGAGTCAAGAATGATGGGAGAATTTTAACCTAGAAGGATGGCATTGCCTTCAGCTGGGATGGGAAGGGAAGGCTGCAGATAAACAGGTTTCAGTGGGAAAGATCTGAAACTTGGGTTTGATCATGTTGTCCTTGAGGTGTCATGCAGGTAGTGATGTCAGGAAGGCCATTGGGATGAAGTTCAAGAGAAACATGGCATTGCATTTGTTAAAGTAAAAAAAAAAGGACAGTTTGACAGGGTTTTGTTAGCACAATAACTAAAGATACATTAGTAGGCTCTACATTGCTCTTAGATTTCATGGAAAATACATAATTTAGTGCATGATAGGCCCTTCAGTCACAAATGAATTATCCTAACTTGCCCCAGCTTCATAAAGGAATTGTTTTCATGAGTCTCTTTAGGCATCACAGTGTGCCAAATCCATGTGACATGCTGAGGCCTGAAGATCCATTTGGAAATTTTATCTTTGTCCAATAAGTGGAAGTAAATTTTGTACAAAGTAACCCAGAAAACACACTTAAAATCTCTAATTGCACTTAGCTATTATTTTCTGAATATTTATAAGAGTGTATATAATTATGACTATGCATTCCATATGTTTAATGTATTGCAAGGGCCTTTCTGTCTGGTCCGATTTGCCTTCCTTTTCCATGAGTGATTTGGAAATATTGAAACTTGCAGAGAGAAACTATTATCAGTGCACAATTCTCTAGCATTTGTCCTTGGAGACTTTATGAGATTGGGCTTTGCCTTTGAAGGAAGCCTTCTTTACCGTGGGCACCTGGAAGGCAGGACACGTATCACTCAGCTGTGGAATTCCTCAGGACCTGGAATAGTTTCTAGTTCAGAAGGGTGCGCAGAGTAGTTTGTTCAGGTGAACTCAATGGCACCATACTCTTCACAGATTGATGCTCATTCCTTGTTGGGTGACAGTCACATTGGGTTCAAGGAAAAAGCTGTCCAACTGCAACTAGTAGTAACACATAAACACAATTTCATCAGTGAGCTGATTAACATTTACAGCTAACAGTTGACAGCTGGATTATCTTGTCCTCAGTTTTAATCAAAACCTTCTAGACTAGAGTTATACATTTTTCCTTCAATCTGCTCATTAATTACATTTGGTGCCTTCTGGTGTTTTCACTTTTATTGGGTATTCTCTGGCAATTCTTCAGGTCAATGTCAGACAGAAGCCACAGTGTTCACAGGTACTCCATGTACCTATAAACCATAAATACACCAAATATACTGAGGTTTTCATTTTCAGAAATTGTGTTGCTATGTCATTGCCTGAATGATAATTTTTCAATACAATTGTTAATATCTGACCTACTCCCCAAAGCTATGACTTTTCTCATTCTAAAGGCTGGTTTTCCTCTGTTTGCAGTCATTTTTGCTTTTTCTTTAGTCTAATGCATTTTTCAGCATACTTACCATGAAGCTGTTATTTCCACCACATCTTACATGTGGACTCTAAAAGCTCGGCCCATTTCTGTACAGCCCACGCTGCCCTTCCATGTTAAGCTCAGATATGTATATACTGCTCCAGCCCTCTCAGTTTGGAACACTTTTTTGCCCACTCCACCCGCCCCAGCCCCTATATGTATGATGTAGTGTATCATCTATGCTTCTATCTTTTACTTTTGTTTTTTTTTTTTAATTTGAGAAGTGAAGGAACTTATCCATGGGCTCCCTCTACTGTTCAGGATGGTTATTTATCAACAAAAAGGTATTTAAAAGCTTGAAGTTTGGTTAGTAATTGTGACTGGTTCCGCTGGTTTTGGCCAGAAGATATTTGGCATCCACAGGTGGGTTGAATGTATGCCATGAATTTACAACTTTCCAAAAGGACAGTTTAAAACCGTAGGTATCAAATTCTCCTTTTTCTTCCTCTTAAGAGGAATGGTCATCAATGAAAGTTGCTAAGTTTTAGATAGAGGCCATCTAAAGTTACCTGGACAATGTTTTAGAGCTGTAGTTCGTATGAGAGCCATTATTCCCTCCCCAACTAGTCACCCTCTCTCAGATTTAGCAAAGAGAGCACCTCCCACATGAGGGTCACCTCTCACTGGGGGATCTCCAATCTTCCAGCTGTCATCTGAATAGCAACAAGATTGAGAGGATGGAAGTTTTTCAAGAAATAAATTAAACGTTAGACTTTCTCTGCAAATATTATTTGAATTTTAACATGGGTCATATTTGAGGAACCACAGTTATTGTTCAAAATGGCCCAGCAGAGGATCTGAGTCCATGGGCTCTCTTCTGGATTGTCAACTCCATGCCAGTGCTTCAGACATCTTGGCAAGTGCTGTGAGCCATGTCTGGCCTTCAGCAAGTAGCCAACTGTGAGTTCTGCCTGCAGAAGACCTGAAAGTGGTATGTTTCACGTGGATCAGTAGTTGTCTTTGATTTTTCTTTTTGCCTTTTGTTACACGCTAGACTGGGAAGCTCGCATTGACAGCCATGGGCGAGTCTTTTACGTGGACCACGTGAACCGAACAACCACCTGGCAGCGTCCAACAGTGGCAGCCACCCCTGACGGGATGCGGAGATCAGGGTCCATCCAGCAGATGGAGCAACTCAACAGGCGGTTGGTGATCAGCATGCAGTGAGCCCCTAGAAACCACAGTGAAAGGAGAATGGTAGCTAAAGAAACCCCTTCGTACACTCTTCTGCCCAGATTGTAGGAGACCAGAAAATAATTGTGTGTCTTAAGAAACCCATCCATAGTAGGAATGTGGAAAACTAGATTTAGAATTTGGTGACAGAAAATAAGCTAAACCTGAGTGTCATTTATATAATGGAGAATCCTTTGAATTTCTTGACAGCCCAGGCTTGCAAACAGGTATTCTTAACCAAGGGCCCATGGACAACCACCCGCCCCACCCCAAGCCAGGTACTCACTGAGGGTGTCAGCTTCCATGAACTCTCCAGAAATTGTATGCAAAATTATACATGGATGCATATTTTTCTGCGAGACTGATCCGTATCTGTTGTAAGACTCTCAAGAGGATACAGAAGTCAAACAGTTGAAAACATTCCAAGAATAGTTGCACAGAATACTAAAAGCTGTCTGGGGAAAAAAACTCTCTAATGAATAACTGTATTCATGTCCACCTTAGTCCCATAATTGCTGTATTCTCAGAAATAATTATTCTTCAAAGCTTTTATCTTAGAAAAAGAAATGTTTGAAAACACTTTTTGAGAATTGTTTTAATATAAAAACTGTTTTGTCTAAAATCTAGACCCTTACTAGTGAACTTATAATGATGTCATTTTGTTTTTAACGTGCAAATGAAACCCTACATTGCATCTCTCCCATGCTATAAGCTAGTATAAGCATCATATCCAACATCTTGCTTCTCAAAGGCCAGGAAGGTGGCTTTGGGATACTTTTAAGTAACCAGTAATGCAGACTGAAGACTCAACTTCAGTTGTATCCACATGCCATCTTGTTAGTATGACATAAAGGAAAGGTTAAGAAGGACTACAGAAAATACAGAACTGGATTTGGGGGCATCCCCACAAATAGCAAATGTCGTTTGAAAGTTAGCTGTATCAGTCAGAAAAAAAAAAGTACACAATTTAGTCCTATTAAAAATACCTAGAGACAACTGAACTTCTTGTTACTCATTTAAGTTACTGGTCACAGAGAGGAGCATGCTTCAAGTGAGAGCCACCAAGATTTTTTTATGGCTTGAGCATTTTGAAGACATTTGCTTTCCATTTATTCCCATCAGTACCCGAGTGTTTAACTCATTAATAAAAACCAGAAAGGATTTTCACTGGCAGCAAATTTCTCTACAATCATTCCTACAGAAAGCATTACAAGGAAGATAACTTGTGATAACCCAGCTTTCGATACAAATGCACCAAAAATCCATGGGACAGTGCTTTGTGGTATTTGCAACAAAACTCCTATAACTAAAAACGTGGGGACACAGCAAGCTTATTAATGGAGGTTAAGAAATAAGGACAGTGACAGCATCATCTGCTTATGAGAGGTACAGTTTGATCACTGAAAAAACAAATTGGAAACAGAAGTGAGCAGGTTGACCTGTGACATAAAAATCCATGAAAGTTCATGGCATTCAGGTTGTATAATATAAAAATTAGGCCAAATCCATCCTGAACCAAGCCTCTGGAGAAGTTTTGCAGGCTCTGATGTGTAAATTCCTGTGGCTTCCAGTGGAGTTGAACATGCTGGGAGAGGCAGCCAGACTTTGCTGACTAGCAAGTTATATTTGCTGCATCCATCTGCACGGATAGAAAGAAAAGGAATTTAGCGATTTAAGAACGTGCTTATCTCTTGTGAAAAAACCTACTTAGGGAAGGTCAGATAACCTTGAGATAAGTATCAGGCTCTTCTGTACTTATCTTAAACTATTGCTTTCAAGCATTTAGTTTTCTGAGAGGTGGTGTGAAGTGGCAGCTACAGGAAATGTACTGCCAGACTTGTCCATCACAGATGCGATCACACGGAGGGTCATGTTTTTGATAACCTGCAGTTACTGGGAGAAATTGACAACGATCACTGTCCCACAGCAAAATGGAAATATTTCTCAGGGCTGGAAGAAGGTGTGAGAGGAAAACTTGTCCTTTCTTCCCTTCTAGGTTCTTCGGGGGTGGAGGGTGCTGCTTTAGACATAAACAGATTAATAGGAGAAAAGCAAATGCAATCTCACCTGTATGGAGCTCATAGAAATAGGGTAATCAAAGAAGTGACCAAAGCAGGCAGTTTTTGTGCCTTTTAGACAAACAAAAAATTTGTGAGAAACTGACAAGACAAAGAAGTTTGGACTTGAGGTAGGAAATTAGTAAAGAAGTAACAACATCTGTTTATGCAGCCTCCCTGGCCCAGAGACATGACTGGTGATGAGGATGCCTTCTCCCCCCCAGGTGTGTGTGGGCCCTTCACAGGGGGAGCCTGTTCCCTGCTTTTAGGAGGACAGAGGAGTGTCAGCACGCCCTTCTTGCTCTGACTGTTAAGTAACCTTAATTCAAAGTATCATTACTCCAGAGCGGCCTATTTGGGGGCAACCTGCCATAGAACCCATCAAAGGGGTTTCCCTTGACCTCTGAGAGGGTGATTGTGAAAATCAAATGCGTTTGTGCAAGGAAACACTCCCTGAGAAATGCAGAGTGCACAAGAGCAGCGTGTGGTGCCCATTCAGACTTGGCCATTCCCCAAACACAGTGCACCCTTCCCAGCCTTCCGGGCTCTGCCACACACTCCCGCTGCAGGGAAATCCCTCACCGCTTGTGATCCACCCAGTACACATCTCAGTCCTGCAAAGGCCCAACCTGAATGTCACGTGGTCCCTGGAACCTCCCAGGAACCGTCCACACAGTGCCACACTAGGATGGGTGGTAGCTGTCCTTACCTTCTGAACTCATTCTTGGTGCAACCCCTCCCAGTGCCACAGTTTACCAGGACTCAGTACAAGACCGTCCCCTGCATTCATTCTGCACTCTCAGAATATCCTGACCTAACTAACTCTACCTCTACAAATATTATGAGCAAGCAAAACATATAATTTGTATCCTCCTTTTAAATAATCAACTGAAGTTGATTTTTTGGTTATTCAGATAAAACTAGTACAGTATTGAGAAAAAGGTTTAAATGCGAAAAAAAGGATCTACAATCCTACTTCCTAAAGCTTTTTAGGAAATTTTGTCTTCAATTTCCCTGTGTGTGCTCAGGCCTTGCATAGTTATAATACCAATATATAGTTAGTTTTCCTATTTCCTATTTCCTATTTCCTATTTTTCACCTACAATTGTTTCACCTACAAGTGTTTTCACATTGCTGTAGTGTTAAGATGATCATTTAAATGGTTGTATAATATTCCAGTCAGTGGATGTAATTTCCTTGACTTAATTTGCCATATAGTGTGATGTTTTGGTTATTGCATTTCATCAGTATTTTGGATAAGACCCAAAGGCCTGTTAGTATTACGATTGTCTTCCAGTAGAGCGTTTCCTTCGGGTTATGTTCCCAAAGGGCAGGCTGAGGGAAATCAGCGTGACTTGGTGTCTGATATCACTGCCTACCCAATGTTTTCTAAAGTGGTCCCGGGGGTTCACTGCCAGCAATAATAGCTTCACTTCCTTCGCAGCTTTTGGTGTGTTTTGCTGACTTAAGACATGCTCCTGGTGTTTTTGTGCTTCCTCCATTTCCCCTCTTGGAGGGTCAACTTTTGTTTCCATGAGCTCTTCTCATGCCAGCTGTAGCTCCTCCCATGAGAATTATCCATTCTTGGGCTTTGTTGGTTTGGTTTGGTTTGGAGTGGTTGGGCATGGCTTGGGAAGGCTTTTTTTTTCCATGTTCGGTTTTCTCTGTGTTTGTATGTTCCTCTGTGTGTGTATCCATTTACAAATTAGACAGTCCAGCTGATTTTCTTACCAATTTTCATTAACTCTTTAGGTGATATAAATATTTAAACCGTCACTGCAAAAAAAAAAAAAAAAGTGTAAGGGAGGCCATTGAAGCATAATTTGAGACGAACAGGAGACACCCAGCTTTCTGACTCCCTCTCTCATCCTTAAACAGAGAACGCCTCTGAGGCTGTAGTCCTGCCTCACCGAGTGATCCCTCCACAAACCACTGTGTGTCCTGCTTCCCCAAAACTGTCCCTGCACTTCAGCAAAGACCAGGGGTGGGAAGTGGAGCCTGGGAGCTGAGGCTGCCGACTCAGTAAGGCATGAGATAGGCAAGGCCCCACTGAAGCAGGTTGTGGGATTGCTGACACTTCTACCATCAGATAAGACTGTATTTACTCAAAAAATTCTCTCCTGTCGCGACTGCACTTTGGGAACACAAAGAGAGGCTACAACTTGACATTTGTCTAAGCCCTATTCCAGGCATTCATTGCTGAGTAACGCACCACCCAAACTTAGTGGATGAAATGGTAATTTACTAGTATCATTATCCCTATTGCTCATGATTCTCTGGGTTGACTGGGTTCAGCGAGGCAGTTCCATCTCAGGGTTATGTCCTGGCTGCAGTGAGAGGGTGGCTGGGGCTGCAGCTCAGCCCTCACATGTCCGGAGGTGGATGCTGGCTGTGGGCTGGACTGCAGCTGGGGCTGTCAGCCAGATGTCTGCACCTGGACTTCCCCACGGCCTGGGCCTCCCACAGCACGGCCACTGTGCTCCATCCCAAACTGTCTCTTACGTTATCTTCTATTAGTCAAGGTGGCCACAAGACCTTCCCAGGGTCAAGGGAAGGGGACATTGATTTTACATCCTATTAGGAGAGTAGTGAGGTGCTAGAAGAGCCTGTGGGATTAAAGGTTCTGTTGAGCCATTTTTGGAACATGCGACCTGCCATAAGCCATTTGGGGACCCTTCCCACAGCAGCACTCCTGGTCTTCAGCAGGCCCCACCCCTCCCCTGTTAAGGTTACACACTCAGGCAGCAGCTCACTGGCCCCCTGTCCCTCCCACCTGGAGACACCCCCTGAGTTCCAGCAGGGACAGCATCACACAGAGCTGTCCTTTGCCTCAGACCTCCCCGCCACAGGCGTGCTGAGGGGGTAAATAAACACAGCTCTTGGTCTTTGTAATTCCTGGCTCATTCCTGCCCCATAACCCATTTTCCTGTAAAAGGCCATCTCTGCACTGCTTTGCAGTAACTACCGCAGGCAAAGGTGTCTTCTGACAGGTGGCAGGAGTGAGCTGCTGAGTCTCTTACATAAAATGAAACTTAAATAAAGTCCCACACCAGTGACTCTCAAACCTAGATGTAGATAACATTACCTGAAAAACTTGGTACAAGTGCAGACTTCAGTTTTGCCTTGATAGCCAAAATTATAATCATCATCCAGAGGATTCTCTTTCAAGTAGCCTGGAGACCACACTTGAGAAGAAAAGTCCTCTTCAAAGCCAAGGTGACTGGCCTTCGGAAACTCTGCCACTGTGGACCGTCTCTGTGTAACAGTGTGGCCCATGTTGGGCTGTGCTTGGAGACCTCATTGTTCGCTGCTACCTGGACACTCACCTCCTACTCTTCTTCACACCTCCTCCACCCCCACAGCTCTTTCCTGGGCACAAGAGCCATATGGCAACATTCTCCTGGACTTGTCATGTGCATGACCTTAAAGACCTCCAAATCAATGTCCAAATCCACTCCTGAAACTCCCCTCTGCTCCCCACCCACCCACCCACCTCCTACGTGCTCTCTTCCAGGATTGACACTTCCACTTTCCACCCACCCGGTTTGAACTTCACAATTGTCTCCACCCTGTTCTTCAACCCCCATATCCAGCCAGGCCCCAAATCCCATTGAGCCTACATACAAAAATCATTGCAAATTCCGCTGCTAAATATCTCTTGAATTCAGCCTCTTCTCCCTTTGCCCTGTGCTTTGAGGAAAAGGGAAGCTGAAAAAGTCATGTGCCTCAGTAGGCTCAGACATTAGGCAAAAGAATGGGGTTTGGGAGGCTGGGGTGTCAGAAGCAGAGCAGAGTCAAGAGAAGTAAGACAGCCAGATGTATGCCTGCAAAATAGAATGGTTTAGGCAGAGCAGGCTATCAAGGGAGGTTTAAGACATTTCTGTGAGTCTTTTGAGGACAGATGTAGGAGATCTTGGTATCTCTGCAGTGTGGGGGTGCTTCTCTCCCCTGGCAGCATGCTCCAGAGCCAGTGTGATCCACCACCCCGGTCTGGGCCCACACCTGTACCACCTCCCGCCTGGCTGTTGCAGTGCCCCAGACTCTGCGCTCTCCTCCAGTGCCTGTACCTCTGGACAGGGGTCACCATTCTCTGTATCACTGAACTGTCTCTTCCAGCAGCTGCCCAGCTACCCGGTAGTGCTCAAAGCTGGTCCCATGATCATCAGCATCAGTGTGACCTGGGAACTAGCTGTAAACCACCCCCAGGCCTGCAGAGTCTAAGACTCTAAGTGGGGCTTGCACATGATTCTGACACAGCTCAGGTTGGAGAAGCTGTGCTTGGAGGGTAACGTGCAGATTGCTGCCAGTCCGTCCCGCTCAATGCTGCTCCCCAGCAATTTCACACTTAACCTCAAAATGAAAGTACCTTAGGTGCTTCCCCGTCTGCATCCCCTCACCTCTTTCACGTCTAGCTTTTCCACATTGCTGGAGCCCCTCCCCTCTTTGCTCGGTCTTGACTGTGTGTGTTCAGAGGGTGATTTCATACTCTAGTCTCCTTTTTGATCTGAAAGTCTAGCACACAGCCTAGGCACACTGGAAGATTTAGTAAATAATTAGTAAGTACCCAGCAAGGTGACTGCCTGGCTAATGGCCTGGCCAGTCCCCACCCTGGGAAGAAAAATCAAAGAAGCCCCCCAGTGACCGGGAAACCTGTATCTGTCTGCCAGCTTGCTGCTGCTGTGTGATATCTCCACAACCTGCCAGTCATACCCATTAACTGCCAAATAAAAACATGTAAGAGTATGATACTAGTTTGTAGACTTCGTACCATAACATAGAAGTAATTTGATAGCTTAGTTGTAATGTTTTAAGTTGCTTCCTACCCCATTATTTTAGGTTTAGCCCAATTTGGTCTCGTGCAGGGCAGAGGTGGTTTTTCATGGGTAGCTACTGTTCGGGTTGATATTTTTAAAGACACCATACTCTAAACTCATCATAGATTACAAATCAAAACGAAGTCAGATCCTCCAGAGACGCTTGTCTTGGTCATTGTTTTGAGTATCCTTTGGGAATTTTAAGCATTTCTCTCCTGACATTCAAGACAATTCTCTACACGTGTCCCCAGTTATCTGCTGCAGAGCATCAGCCAACAAACAAAAGTTAACTCCATCTTTCCATTTTCTGATGCAAAGGTATCAGAATATTCAGAGAACCATTGCAACAGAGAGGACTGAAGAAGATGCTGGCAGCCAAAGTTGTGAGCAAATCCCCGCAGGAGGCAGCAGTGGAGGTGGTGGGAGTGACTCAGAGGCTGAATCGTCTCAGTCAAGCTTAGGTATGGAAGGAGGGGTCCCCAGACTTCTGGGGTAGCGGCCAGTGTCTGTGTGACAGAGGATGTGAGCCCCTC